ATATAAATAATTGGGAAACAGATATAAAAGTAAAATTGTTTGAAATTGGGCAAGGTGATGTTTGGTATAGTCAGGGAAGCATTTAAATGAAAACAAACTTCCTTATCATTAAACAGCGGATTGTAGATATTTTGATTCAAACAAGTTTTGAGCAAATAAATTGTTCATCGAGATGCAAAATTTATAAGTACATCATTGACAATTTTTCTCTCTTATATTACTTAACAAGAGCTATTCCTACGAAATATAAGAGGCAATTAAGTAAAATACGTATGTCGACCCATAATCTAGCTTTTGAAAGCGGTCGTCACAATAATATACATGTACCAGCAAATGATAGATATTGCGAAATGTGCCATTTAGATATTGAGTATGAATTTCACTTTATTTAAAATGTCTTCAATTTAGTGCTATTAGAGGTCGATACATTAAGAAATATAACTGGAAAAAACCTTCAGTTTTCAAATTAATACAGCTGTTAAGTGTAACAAGAGGCCCATAGGCCACATCGCTCACCTGAGCACTAAGGGTAGGAAAAAGTAGAAAATGGCTTTAATTGTAAATTTTAAATCCAAAAGTAGTCCCATGACCAATCATTGATTTGCTAATTTTTAGAAAACGATTTTAAAAGAATTTTCCTATATATATCTTTAAAAACTTTGGTCGGCCATTTTGGCCCCGCCCTACCCCTGGGGGCCATGATTTGAACAAATTTGAATCTACACTACTTGAGCATGCTTCCGTATAAATATGATGAATAATGGCTTTGTCATTCTTGAGAAGAAGATGCATTGTTGTTTAAAGAATTTTCCTATATATTTCTATTTAAAACTTTGGTCGGCCATTTTGGCCCCGCCCTACCCCCGGGGGTCATGATTTGAACAAACTTGAATCTACACTACCTGAGCATGCTTCCATATAAATATGATGAATTATGGCTTTGTAATTCTTGAGAAGAAGATTTTTAAAGAATTTTCCTATATATTTCTATGTAATACTTTGGTCGGCCATTTTGGCCCCGCCCTACCTCGGGGGGTCATGATTTGAACAAACTTGAATCTACACTACCTGAGCATGCTTCCAAATAAATATGATGAATAATGGCTTTGTCATTCTTGAGAAGAAGATTTTTAAAGAATTTTCCTATACATTTCTATGTAAAACTTTGGTCGGCCATTTTGGCCCCGCCCTACCCCGGGGGGTCATGATTTGAACAAACTTGAATCTACACTACCCGAACATGCTTCCATATAAATATGATGAATTATGGCTTTGTCATTCTTGAGAAGAAGATTTTTAAAGAATTTTCCTTTACATTTCTATGTAAAACTTTGGTCGGCCATTTTGGCCCCGCCCTACCTCGGGGGGTCATGATTTAAACAAATTTGAATCTACACTACCTGAGAATGTTTCCCCATAAGTTTCATCTTTCCTGGCACAGTGGTTCTTGAGAAGAAGATTTTTAAAATATGCCACCAAATTTTTATTAATTCCCAATTATCTCCCCTTGAATGAGTGCGTGGCCCTTCATTTGAACAAACTTGAATCCCCTTCACCCAAGGATACTTTGTGGCAAGTTTGGTTGAAATTGGCCCAGCGGTTCTTGAGAAGAAGTCGAAAATGTGAAAAGTTTACAGACAGACGGACAGACAGACAGACGGACGCCGGACAAAATGTGATCAGAAAAGCTCACTTGAGCTTTCAGCTCAGGTGAGCTAAAAACTTTAAGGAACTGTGCAATTTAGATATTTACCTCCACCATGCTTTTGAAATATGTAAAAGTGTCACAAACGCATTTTCTATCTAAAGTATATGCATAAACTCTATATTGTTTAATATGGAACGCCATCACTGCCTTATTGCATAAAACTATGCATTCATTTTGTCAATGTATCATTACGTGATGTGAACATATCTTTACGTTATGTCAACTTTTTATGGGGTGATATGAAATATCTTTACATTATGTCAATGCTGCATTACATGAAGTATATACATTTTCCCGTTATGTAAACACTTTATAACGTGAAGTCAGAAGTTCATTATGTGAAGTGAAAATATATTTACATTGTGTTAAAACTTTACAACGTTAATGAATGTTTCTTTACATCATTTCATTTCTGTAATATGTGAGGTCAAAATTGCATTACGTCAAGTAATATTGTGTTTTATAATTAAACTTATCATTACATGAAGTCAAATGTCCATTCCTTTTTGAGAGTGTATATTTCTATTATATCAAAGCATTATTATGTGATATGGATTTATCTTTATTTTACGGCGAGAGCATCATGATGTGAGGTGAACACATCTTACCTTTATGTCAGTGCTTTATTACGTGGTGTAAAAAGTGTATTACATTATGTGAACATATCTTTACATTATTCAACACTTTATTACATTATGTCAAAACTCCATTCCGTGATGTGGATATATAATTACGTTATGTAAACTCTTTCTTAAGTTATTTAAAAATATCTTTATATTGTGTGAACTCTATATCATGTTGATTCCAAAAGTTAATTACCTGATGTGAAAATACATTTCCATTTTCTGAAAGCTGTATATCTAGTGTAATAATGAATGTTGACGACCGTGTTTTAATGACTGGTAAAGGGGGGGGGGCATGATTGAGTAGGACGAATTATAGATGTATACATAATATCAGCCCCCCCCCCCCTCTTTTCCCAGACATAACTTAACTATAGAAAATGTAATGTTCATTGAAAGTACAGCCCCGACCCCCACTGATTGTTGAAGTATAGTCCACTAAGGGTAATGTAGTATAACTGAAAAAAATAGGACTGATCGAAGTCGGACCCCCCTCTCCGAAATAGAATTTTCGGGCTTGGACAATTTTTGGGGGGCTTGTCAAGTTCTTTTTCGGGTAAATAATTTTTTTTCTGGCTATCATTCCCTTTCAAAAAATGTCACTTAATTAGTAATTTTTTCAACCATTCCAGGACCAGAATTCTTTTACAAAAATCTATCAGTACTTCATCTAAATCAATTGAATATGCCTTAGTAAGCATGCATGGGCACATATCAGTGGCGGATATGGGAATCTTGAAGAAGGGGCGGGGCGGTATAGAGTTGGTGACCAAGGGGGTAAAGCGGAAAAACTCTCCGGCAGGCTTTATAGTTTAACAGAAAAAAAGTTTTCAACTTATTTCAGCTAAACTTATAGATACATAATATCATAATACGTAATAATATATGTGAAATTATAGATACATAATAATATATGTGAAAGTAAGGCAATGTCCTACAATGTAAAACCAATAAATTTATTAATTTTATGTATATTTTGGTCACTAAAGATAGTAGGGCGAGACACCCCCCCCCCCCCCCACCAAACCCACCAGTGCACGTGTTACACAATGTGTTTATACACTTCAAAAAAGGGAGAGTTAAAGACTGATAAAAACCTTATGACAATGTTGTTACTAAGGTCAGAAGTTTAAGACTTTTATCCAAAAAAAGCAATTCAAAAGAGAAAGAAAAAAATTGCTGCACGACTCATAATATTTGAGTTTTTAAAAATTATCAGATAAAAGTAAACGCCATTGAATTTAATGCGTGACTTTAATTCACAGTCGCAGTGTTAAGGCTTTGCACGTTTCAAGATTGTCAATCATTTTTCGCTTAGAGTTTTCATTTAAAGAAGTTCTCTCTCCCGCCATTTTTAGTGCTTGCGGAATGCGGAAAATACATTATGCTCATAAAAAGGCCGAGGATATCTGTGTTCGCATAACGTAATAGTGAATCGACATAATGTAGAAGAGTGCGCACAGTATGACATGAGCTTTTCACATCTGATATGAAATAGCCTATGTTACATGTATGCTGACAAAAGGCTTAGAATTTTCGACACAATGTAAAGACACAATGACATAACGTAATAAAGATTTGTCAAAAAGTAAGGACAAATTCACATAATGAAATTGATTTACGTCGTCATGTAGCATATTGATGACATAATGTAGTAAAAGAATTGACAACATGTGACAATTTTTTGACATCATGTAATGAAATTCTGACATCGTATTATAGCGACTTGATATTGAATTAAAATAAATTCACATCATGTAATGAACTACTTAGACCAAATAGTAAAGAGTGCACATAATGTAATAATGAGTTGAAATTATATATTAACAACGAGTAAAAATCTTTTGACATAATGTCACAAAGAGCTGATATAATGCAATGAAAGATTGACGCAATGTAATTGAAGTGTGAGTAATTGTCATAAAACAGATAACATAATGTTAAAGAAAGTTGACTCAGTGTAACAGTAGTGTGTGTAAATGTCATAAAGAGTTGACCTAATGTAAAGGAAAGTTGACACAATGCAATAGTAGTGTGAGTAAATGTCACAAAGAGTTGACATAATGTAATAGAAGGTTGACACAATGCAATTGCAGTGTTCTGCTATAAGGCAGTGACGGCGTTTCATAGTTTAAGGTTGTTACCATCCACCATTATATACTACATTTGTTGATATTACCATGTCACATAACCTATTATTTGATGTTTGTTACATTTACTTATAATGCTGTAAGATGTATGTCTTGGGCAATAAAGATATATAATCAGATATAACCCCCTCTTCGAATACGGTAGCAAACAACTTGTATTTCACAGCTGTGGGTTAAAAATTACAATCAAGTATATTTGGAAAGATCTTATCAAATGGGATGTACAAGGCTAATACGGAAACACTATCGTCTCACATTCAAAAGTTGTCATCATTTTAGAATTTTGTAGAAATAGATCAAATCTCAAGTTTATGGGCTCAAAAATGGTGTTTCATTTGGAAAGTTTAATCACGTACATTAATACTAGTATACTTGCCCTATGTTTTCTCATTCAAATGTTACGTTACGACCAGAGTTAAGATTCTGTGACCGACGGACAAACTGATAGACGAAACAGATTTAATTTTCCTTTTGCGGAGGCGGGGACAGAATATGTTGCTAAAGAAATTAAACATTAATCAATTAACATGATTAATATGAAAGTAATCAACTTTTTCAGAGGACGTCATGCCTTCGGAGTCGTTTACAGATGTTCTTCCGGGATTTACAGGGGAGTGTAATCCAGATATCTTCAACCTCAAAGCGAGGCCGAAGGTTACAGAGAAGAAACCAGGCCAACTTCCGGACCATATCATAAAACAATACTTTGAAGATGTATGTTTTATTTATACAGTAGTAGTAAAGGGCATCACAGCTCAGAGATAACCAAACTAGATGTCTATGTCTTACGTAACATTCAATGTCATTGATAAACAATTGTTTAAATAATCCATTGGAGGTGGTATAGTTTCCAGAAGTATCGGGGGGGGGGGGGACTTCTTATCTTCTTCGGATTAGTTTGGGTAGTGTGTGAACTAGCACGTTGACTTAAAATATTTGCACCTTGAATAAAAATCATTATTAATTTCTGAATAGATGAAAAAGCTCTTTATCTTAGATATTCAACTTTAGATATGGTTAACCTTTTCTGTTTGGAATAAAGGGTTATGTGATCGTGAAGGACTTCTTTACTAAGGAAGAATTGGAACCATGCAGAAAGGCTATTGAAAGATTTGTTGATCAGCTGGCCCAAAAATTATACGAATCTGGACGAATCAAATGTAAGCAAATTGCACAACATAAACACGTATTAAAACTTAAGTGTTTCACCCTCTCTGTTTCTTACTTAGAAAATTGGATCACTTTTACTATTATTTATTTTTAAACAATTTGTTTTAGCGCTCTTCAGTGAGTACGGGTTTTTTGAACGCTTGTCGAAGATTGAAAATGAATTTCCTGGAGCTAACATAGTTCTACACAAATACGGAGTTTTACCACAGGTATACAAACTACTAGTATTCTAGTTTACTAATATGTGATATCACAGTCAAGAATATGGGGTAGATGGTCACCAGATTGTGATAAAAAAACACTACGAATTGCCAAAATCGACCTGAATATAGGGGCTGGTTGAAAAGGTATTTTTCAGATGAGATATTTGTTCAAGCAATTTGTTATGCCCCGCCATGAATATGGTTTGGGCATATAGTGTTTGTCATGTCTCTCTTCCGTCCTTCCCTTTGTCCTTTCGTCACACTTTTCGTTTAGCTGTGTTCAAAGCTCAGTTTCAAAGAAACTATCCAAGATATTTTCATCAAACTTCATATGCTGATAGATATTGATGAGAGCTATGCAACTGCATCAACATTTTTTGACCTTGACCTTTCCTTTGACCTTGACCTCACTTTTGTTAAATTAGTGTTTAGCTCAGTTTTAAACATACCATTCAAGATGGATTTATCAAACTTCACATGTTGATACAAACTTGCATGGATGATGCATCTTGGGATGAACACTACCAGACTTGCTTCGGATGCTGGATCTGATCTACATTTTCCAGATGAGTGACCAGAGTTAAGTTTTTGGAGCAGGTCCATTCCTAAGGAATTATAAGCCCTACTTGGACCAAACTTGCATGGATGATGCATCTAGGGATGGACACTACCAGACTTGCTTCGGATGCTGGATCTGACCTATATTTTCATTCCCAAGTAACTATAAGCCCTACCTGAACCAAACTTGCATGGATGATGCATCTAGGGATGGACACTACCAGACTTGCTTCGGATGCTGGATCTGACCTATATTTTCATTCCCAAGTAACTATAAGTCCTGCCCGAACCAAACTTGCATTGATGATGCATCTAGGGATGGACACTACCAGACTTGCTTCGGATGCTGGATCTGACCTATATTTTCATTCCCAAGTAACTATAAGCCCTGCCGGAACCAAACTTGCATGGATGATGTAGCTAGGGATGGACACTACCAGACTTGCTTCGGATGCTGGATCTGACCTATATTTTCATTCCCAAGTAACTATAAGTCCTACCTGAACCAAACTTGTTTGGATGATGCATCTTGGGATGAACACTACCAGACTTGCTTCGGATGCTGGATCTGACCTACATTTTCCAGATGAGTGACCAGATTTAAGTTTTTGGAGCAGGTCCATTCCTAAGGAATTATAAGCCCTACTTGGACCAAACTTGCATGGATGATGCATCTAGGGATGGACACTACCAGACTTGCTTCGGATGCTGGATCTGACCTATATTTTCATTCCCAAGTAACTATAAGCCCTACCTGAACCAAACTTGCATGGATGATGCATCTAGGGATGGACACTACTAGACTTGCTTCGGATGCTGGATCTGACCTATATTTTCATTCCCAAGTAACTATAATTGCTGCCCGAACCAAACTTGCATGGATGATGCATCTAGGGATGGACACTACCAGACTTGCTTCGGATGCTGGATCTGACCTATATTTTCATTCCCAAGTAACTATAAGTCCTGCCCGAACCAAACTTGCATTGATGATGCATCTAGGGATGGACACTACCAGACTTGCTTCGGATGCTGGATCTGACCTATATTTTCATTCCCAAGTAACTATAAGCCCTACCTGAACCAAACTTGCATGGATGATGCATCTAGGGATGGACACTACTAGACTTGCTTCGGATGCTGGATCTGACCTATATTTTCATTCCCAAGTAACTATAATTGCTGCCCGAACCAAACTTGCATGGATGATGCATCTAGGGATGGACACTACCAGACTTGCTTCGGATGCTGGATCTGACCTATATTTTCATTCCCAAGTAACTATAAGTCCTGCCCGAACCAAACTTGCATTGATGATGCATCTAGGGATGGACACTACCAGACTTGCTTCGGATGCTGGATCTGACCTATATTTTCATTCCCAAGTAACTATAAGCCCTGCCGGAACCAAACTTGCATGGATGATGCATCTAGGGATGGACACTACCAGACTTGCTTCGGATGCTGGATCTGACCTATATTTTTATTCCCAAGTAACTATAAGTCCTACCTGAACCAAACTTGTTTGGATGATGCATCTTGGGATGAACACTACCAGACTTGCTTCGGATGCTGGATCTGACCTACATTTTCCAGATGAGTGACCAGATTTAAGTTTTTGGAGCAGGTCCATTCCTAAGGAATTATAAGCCCTACTTGGACCAAACTTGCATGGATGATGCATCTAGGGATGGACACTACCAGACTTGCTTCGGATGCTGGATTTGACCTATATTTTCATTCCCAAGTAACTATAAGGCCTACCCGAACCAAACTTGCATGGATGATGCATCTAGGGATGGACACTACCAGACTTGCTTCGGATGCTGGATCTGACCTATATTTTCATTCCCAAGTAACTATAAGTCCTGTCCGAACCAAACTTGCATGGATGATGCATCTAGGGATGGACACTACCAGACTTGCTTCGGATGCTGGATCTGACCTATATTTTCATTCCCAAGTAACTATAAGTCCTGTCCGAACCAAACTTGCATGGATGATGCATCTAGGGATGGACACTACCAGACTTGCTTCGGATGCTGGATCTGACCTATATTTTCCAAACAAGCAATTCAGCTGCATCACTATTCAACTTCTGATCAAATTTTATACACATACAAATTTTCATGTTGCTTTACTAATACATCCTCGGCGGGGCATTCATGTCCTATGGACATATTTCTAGTTCAATCAAATATGGAAAAAAATTCAATTGAAGCTTCTGATGACCAGCAAAAAAATTGTGTTCGACTCTTTTCAGGTATTTTTTCAATTTTATCATGACTTTCAGACGGAGTAAACTCAGGTACAGATACTCGTACGAGGGCTGATCAAAAAGTTCGCAAACTATCTCTTTATCTACAAACCACAATTCAGATTAGAAAAAAAAGATACACACGTACATAACCATACACCCGGGCCTTATTTGCTCAAAGCAGGAAGAGGACTACCATACACAAGGTCTATAAATAGCATCTGCTGAATAAAGTTTTGCTCCTTGTTTGTGACGTCAAAATGTGAAAATGACGATGTAGATCACTTACAAGTGACAAAAAATGGTTGTCTCAGTCGGACTCGTACAACGGCGTATTTGTGCCATACTGACAATGCAGAAAAAAAATTAAAAATCGTTTGTTCGATTTTCTAAATCGTTTGTACGATTTAGAAAACTGCGTTTGTACGATTTAGAAAATCGATTTTACGATTTAGAAAACCGTTTGTACGATTAAGACAATCGTTTGCACGATTTTTTAAAAAACTGTTTACATACGATTTTTTTTAAATTCGTTTGTACGATTTTTTAATTTCAGTAGTACGATTTTAAAAATCGTTTCTACATTTTCTTTAACATGTAATTTATTGTTATTAAACGTAGAAGAAGCTTAATAGAAAACTGTCCTGAATAAGGGGGGGGGGGGGGGCTGGGTGATTAGGTATAGGAAACGGTCCTGTCTCTCTATATTGTAAAATGATAATGACTTTAATAAAAGAAGGAGTAAAATTTAGCATGTTATAAAAACTTGCTTCATCCCTCTCTTTTTAGAGGAAAAAAGGGATGAAGCGCTGAATATATTCCTAGATGTAGGACTGCAATGCATCGACCATAATTGTTATATTAAAAAATAACCTAAAGAATGAAAGCGGCAATACGACTGCAAATCGAGTGCTTTTTCATTCAAATTTACCCAATACAGTGGACCTTCATATATCCGGACGCCAGATATCCGGATGCTTCGGTATCCGGACGACTTTTCATCGGAACAGAATTTTTAGCTCACCTGAGCCGAAGGCTCAAGTGAGCTTTTCTGATCAAAATTTGTCCGTTGTCTGTCGTTGTTGTCGTTGTCGTAGTCGTTGTCGTTGTCGTTGTCGTTGTAAACTTTTCTCATTTTCATCTTCTTCTCAAGAACCACTGCGCCAATTTCAACCAAACTTGGCACAAAGTATCCTTGGGTGAAGGGGATTCAAGTTTCTTCAAATGAAGGGCTTCGCCCTTTTCCAAGGGGAGATAATTATGAATTAGAGAAAAATTAATGGCATTTTAAAAAAATCTTCTTCTCAAGAACAACTGGGCCAGGAAAGATGAAACTCATATGGAATCATCCTCAGGTAGTGTAGATTAAAGTTTTTTTTCAAATCATGACCCCTGGGGCTAGGGTGGGGCCAAAATGGCCGACCAAAGTTTTACATAGGAATATATAGGAAAAATCTTTAAAAATCTTCTTCTCAAGAACCACTGGGCCAGGAAAAATGAAACTCATGTGGAATCATCCTCAGGTAGTGTAGATTCAAGTTTGTTCAAATCATGACCCCTGGGGCTAGGGTGGGGCCAAAATAGCCGATCAAAGTTTTACATAGGAATATATATGAAAAATCTTTAAAAATCATCTTCTCAAGAACCACTGGGCCAGGAAAGATGAAGCTCATGTGGAATCATTTTCAGATAGTGTAGATTCAAGTTTGTTCAAATCATGACCCCCGGGGGTAGGGTGGGGCCAAAATGGCCGACCAAATTTTTACATAGAAATATATAGAACAAATCTTTAAAAATCTTCTTCTCAAGAACAACTGGGCCAGGAAAGATGAAACTAATATGGAATCATCCTCAGGTAGTGTAGATTCAAGTTTGTTCAAATCATGACCCCTGGGGCTAGGGTGGGGCCAAAATGGCCGACCAAATTTTTACATAGGAATATATAGGAAAAATCTTTAAAAATCTTCTTCTCAAGAACCACTGGGCCAGGAAAGATGAAACTCATGTGGAATCATCCTCAGGTAGTGTAGATTCTAATTTGCTCAAATCATGACCCCTGGGGCTAGGGTGGGGCCAAATTGGCCGACCAAAATTTTACATAGTGATATATAGGGAAACCTTTTAAAATCTTCTTTTCAATTACTTCAAAGCCATGATTAGTGATATTTTTCTATTTAAATGGAATCATCCT